AATAATTTAAACCCAATGGTTTTTCGGTGACATTTTTCTCCATTAGTGATAAAAATTTTGATAATTTTGTTTTCTCCACATTTCGTTTCTTGTTTCAACTTTACTTCAATACGTAGTTACTGCGAAAGACAAAGTTTTATTCACGTTCGCGAGATTAACAGCATAGCGGAGTTTGTTGTCCGATTTCAAAAGAGCATATTCGACAGACAGCAACATGCCGATACTCTACTTCCTGAATAAAATACCACATTCTACGTAAAAACTAAACCTTTCTTTACTTGGTTCTCCACGACGCTAAATTAAAAGAAGAAAAGGCCTGACCATCATTGCGCATCTCTCACAGCTCTTTCGCTCCCACCCCCGGAGCCCATCGCGGTCGCCCCCGTCGCCTCCGAGACGCCGGGCCGGGGCGAACGCCGGAGAAATATCGCGCACATAAAGAGGCGACACGCTCATCACGCGCAGACATGACGTAACCGCGCGCTTCGCCGGCGACGGGCCGGGCCGAGCTGCGACGCGGCGACGGCGGCGGCGGCGGCCGCGCTGAAAAAATAATGAATTTATGACGTCACGCCACACTGATTTTATAGTCGCGCGGCGGTTTTTATGCTCCTTTTTTCAAGCCGCCGACGCCGTCGCCACCGCCGTCGTCGCCCCTCGGTAGCGGCTGCCTCAGGGCAGTTTCTGCGCGGGCCGACAGGGGCGCCGCGGTCGTGAGGCCCGCGCCCTTCTGAGGAGGAAGAGGGCTGAGGACTTGATCGAAGGGTCGCGCGGCAGAGGGCGAGGGCGAGGGCGAGGGCGAGGGTGCGGCCGAGGATGTGTCCCTGGCGAGGGTTTACCTAAACGAATCTGCTCTTCCAAAAGATGCGTCTTGAGTGGAAAGGCGGTCGGCGAGTTGCGCCGAGAAAAGCAGGGAAGGGCGATAGCAAGTGGGTTTGGCGATTTGCATAAGGACAGAAGCATGCGTCTCCAGACGATGTTCTCTAGGGCAGTAAGGATCGGAAGGGAAAAGTTTAAAACATCAAACTCTTCCAAGACATCGCGCCCTATAATTGCGATTTGCAGGTGATCGAAGATAACGAAGAAAATTCATCTGGCTTTCGTATTTCAAAAACGTTATGGTTTCAACATATCTAATCAATGCCAAATCAACGAAGAGTACAGCGCACTGAATACAGAATATTGTTTTACTTTGTGTACTTCGTTCCACTCTGCATAAATTGGCATGTTATTTGTTTAGCATTCATTGAAAAAAATGCTGCCACTATTATATATGCTGCAACGAATATATCATTTCTTCAAAACTGCTACTAAAGAAAGAAATTTTTGCCCAAAATTGCATCATTTTAGGCACGGAAACACTTGTTGGCGAATTTCATGTTATGAAGTACACTTTGTTGGACCATTACTGAGATTCATACAATTCAGTAAATTCAGCGGCGTAAATAATATTGCATTTCCATTAAAATTATTGCCTTTAAATTAGAATAGTCGTAGAATCGGACTGCACTCTGGGTAGCTAATTTACTGTAGTATGATTCTACAACAACACATTGGAAGACCGCGCTCGTCCACAAACATTCCATTGTGTAGGCGTGTGTGAAACCTCATTGCCAGGCTCCCCGTCCATACGCAGGCGCTGGTGTCGGTGCTGATGCTGGTGGTGGCTCAGGACGCGCAAAAAGCGCCCGCCGGCCGCGCGTTCCCCGCGCGCGCGCGTCTGAATGAACACGCGGCCAGCGCGGCGCCGCTGCGATCCCCACCTCGCGCCGAGGGCGGCGGCGGCGGAGGCGGCGGCACCCCCCTCCGCGCGGCGCCCCGTCCCCCCACCAGCGCCGCTTGGGCATCGGAAAGCTCTTTAGAGGGCGCCCCCTCCCTCCCGACCTCCCCTCCCACCGGCGGCCGCGGAGCGGGGATGCGGCCCTCTGCAACTGTCTGTCTGTCCCTCATTCAACCGCCGCGCATGGCGCGCCGGCCGTCATTGGCCCGCGCGCACCACGTGACCGCACGCGACGCCCGCGGGCTGCTTTTGGCGGCGGCCGGCGCCGCCCGCTGCTCGCCCGCCTGCCTGCTTGCTCGCCCGCTCGCTCGCTGGCGCTCGGGTAAATAAAAAACAACGCCTCCTCGGTGGTGGCGGCGGCGACGAAGCCGCGGCGGCAGCACAAACCAGCGCACGCGAGATAACGCGGCGTGGCGGCGGGCGGCGGGGCGGCACGCGCGGCGAGGGAGGGGACAGGGCGGTGAGGCGGTGCGAGGTGCCGCGGCGGCGGCGATCAGAAATATTTCGGAGGGACGGCGCGTCTGACGCGCTGAGTGACGGGTGCCGAGCGCAAGAAACGGGCGACGCGGTCGTGCGGGCGCCGGGTGTCGGAAGGGCGGAAGGCGCGCCGGCGACAGCAGCGCGCGAGCGGCGGGCGCGGCGCGCGAGGCGGCGCATTGTTGGGCGGCGGGTGCGCGGCGCAGCGGACGCGCCCGGGAGCAACAATCGCGCGAGTGCGGCGGCGGCGGGGGGGCGAGTGCGCGACGCGGCGCGGGTGGCGCGTGGAGGCCGACGACAACGCCCGCAGCGTGTGTCCGGGTGGTGCGTGCATGCCGCGGACCTAGCGCGGCTTTCGCGAGACGTCAGTGCGGGACCTCGGTGGCCGCGGTTGCGGCGGCAGCGGTTGCGGCAGCGGCAGCGGGCCTGGGCGTCGACGCGCCCGCCGGCGCTTGCTGTGCGCGGACTTGAACCCGGCGGCGGCGCGCCGCGATGCCCGCGGGTCCGACGCGGCGGTGCGGCCGGCGCGCCCCCGTGGCGCGCGGCGCCCGTCAGCGCCCCGCGCCTCCCGCGCCGGGGCTGCTGAGGCGGCGGCGGTGGCGGGCGGCGGCGGCGGAGCGGCGGCGCGGCGATGCGCGGCAAGCAGAGCCAGCACGCGCCCACGGGCCGCGACCCGGCGGACCCAGACGAGTACGTGACGTGAAGACCCGCGCGCCGTCGCGGGCGGCGGAGGCCGTGGGTGGCGCGCCGGGCGGCGGCGGCGGCGGCGGAGGGCGGCCGGCGGCGGAGGCGGCTTCTGGCTGGCCGCGGTGACCGGCGGCGGCCGTCCCCGCCGCCGTGCTCGACGGCTGCGAGACGGGCTTCACAACAGCCAGCCGTCCATGGCGGAGTTCATGACGGCGCTGCCGCACCTGCCGGGCGCGGGCGGCGCGGGCGAGCTGGGCGTGGGCGTGGCGTGGGGCGGGGCGGCCCAGCCGCCCCGCGGCTCTACCCAGGCGCTGGGTGAGGCGCACGGCGGCGGGCCCGCCCAGCGAGCCGCCGGGCGTAAACTGCACGAGTACTCTGGATGAAGGAGAAGAAGACCACGCGGAAGAGCAGCCAGCAAGGTGAGTGGCGGCGGGAGCGATCGCCTGGGACGGCTCTCAAGCCCAACCTACTCTCCATTGTACACACAGTTCAAAGACTTCCATGTACAAAGCATTGCTCAAAGTCGCATATCTGCCATGTTCTTCATTTGAATTCCATGCTCACGGTTGTAGAATTTCATGGTATATGTTATCACCCGTTGCTTCTTGAAAGACACGATGATTTGGTCGAAAGTATGCAGTGTGAGTATACTTTCATGTACCATTTTATCTCATTTAACGTTTCTTTGAAGATGTAAATAGCAATTTGATCACACGCCCGTCTCCCAATCTTCTGAGGCTTCTCATCAAAGCGTACTACTTGTATATTATTTCCATGTATCCAATCGTCTTTCCAGCATTGTGTCAGAGTTGCCTGCCATCGTTTGTGATCCTACTAATGATTCGGTGTACAATCAGAATGAGTGACAGTCACAGAGAGAGACTCAGACGTTTCCTCTGTATAACGATACAAATGTATAGTTTTCTGTACAAATGTTCTTGTTGCCTTTGCTTCCCTCTGAAAGTTTGAATGAGGAAAAGGACTTTACTTCCACAAAAGTGGAAAGTGCATACAATGAGTTTGGATTTTGTTATCGAAATACATTTAGAAAGCAAAAAAGTGCGAACTTATCAATAAATAATACTGTATACGTAAAGCAAATGCAGGCTAAATAATTACAGGAGTATTTTATTTCAAAATAAATGGGAATGATGGGGGTAACAGTACACCATTTGTACAATGTTACACACAAACGTACAGGATGTTTGTAAAGAAATATAACACTGAACCATCGACTATTATAAGATTTCACCAGGATTTTTTTCGGAAAACTGCAAAGTTATCGCTTTCACCACATAGTAACAATTGCAATGGGGATCTCAATATGAATGTGAGCTAAAAGATACAATGAATGATCATTCTTTTACAGGAATGAGATAATTCATTGTGTATATCAGCTCAGGTTCTTATTGAAAATCTCGAGTACATTCACATACTTTCGCAATAAATGTACAATGTTTTAATAATATATAATAATAATATAATGAAATAGTTACGAATGTTGACCGTGTGAGATCTTTCTAGATTCATCCTTTTATTAATAGTCTGGGAACACCCTATTGAATCTGTGGCTTCCCGAACAAACTTATATTTTCTAATTAACCAAATTTAACGATTTACATTTTATCGCGTACGTTTAATTGAATAAGAAACGGGAAAAAGAACAGTTGCTGTTCTTTTTCTTCGTGGTAGATATCGAATAAAATTGTAAATTAGCTTACAAGAAGAAACAATAACCATATTATTCAAATAAGCTGAATTATCTGAAGAACAATGCGTAACAACTGGATGGGAACGGACAGTTCTCTCCGAAAGGTGCAACGTAAACACCCACGAAAGCGCGACAGTGGCCCCGAATTCCCTCAGAAGCGCGCCGGGCCTTCGAGCGCGGCCAGCGCGGGCGCCGATGGCTGCGCAGGGGCGGTGCGCGGCCGGCACTGACTGATGACCGCTGACCGCCGGGTCAGGCGTCCGCTAGGTGCTGGCGGACGCAGGTGGAGGGCCCACGCCGACGCAGGCGCCCTCCGGAGCCCCCCGGCGCCCCCCTTCGCCCTCTGGCCCGCGCCCCGCACCGGCGGACTCACGAGAAGACTCGGCGGGGCGATCTACGGATGTGGACACAGAAAAATTATTTCGGCTATGTCATCTGTGTGGCCGTCTTGAGCGAGATCGCATCGCTGTTCGTCTAGTGCATATTCCTCACATTCGAAAAAAAATTTAATACGAACATATGTTATTAGAGATATTCAGTGTTCTCAAATTACATATCGAGAACTCAACGTCTCTGCAGTTCCGCCCAACTGTAAACAATACAGGACAGCGAATTTCGTCATTGGAGATGTACTCCTACAATCAAGTTTCAAAACCTGACAACACGTGATCCACTAACGAAGAATTTCCGAAAACATCCTGTTTGCCAGGCTACGTCCTGCTGTAACATGAAAACAGGAACCTGAGAAATTTAATCTATTTACTTTATGGTAAAACTGATAAACCTTCATTTTTTGTAAGGAACAAAAAGTGACTCATATACCTTCAAGTTTGCCATTGTGAAATGGCAACAAAAAGTTAACACCAACCCACAACAAACATCAAGCTTCCGATCACGCTCATGACTTACGAAAAGTGAATGGCAATTTGAATTGAAATTAATTTTAAAATCCCAGCCTAAGTCATATCAAGAGAATGATGTTCATTCAGAGCAGTAATTCGTCCTTCAGACCTCTTAGTCAAATTTTTGGAAGAAAAAAAAATTGAGCCGTTTATTCCATGATTTGGTTTAGCCCAAATATGTGAAAAATGTGTTTGTTGTTGCCATTCTTCAAATACGTGAAGCAGCTGAGTTTTGCGTGATCCGAGGTTATAAGAATACCACGTTTGAAAAAGAATATACACTCCTGAGGTTGGTGATAGCAAGTCCAACACTGAGTTTCGTAGAACGGCAACCTTCCGAAAATCTCGCTAAGACGAAAAGATATCGACTATAGTTTTATCCACTGAAGACTAATGTCTTCAAATCAAGTCAAATACTTCAACATCTTTTATTAAATTATTTATAAAAAAGCTGCGGTTTATGAAGTCACGACCAAGTGTCACAAATCGTACGTCGTCATTGTGTTAAAAACTTAAGCCAAAATCTGAATTTGAAATTTTTAACTTTTAATGCGTAGAAAAATATGATTGATTAGACACGTTCCTACGATTCGCAAAATAACGCAATGATATATGCTCACGTTATGACATTCAATAAAAAATTCCTAGTATCTTCTAACGAATCCATATCTGTGGCGTTCAATAAGCTGGTACAATTCCATTTTCACCGATAGCGAAATGTGTGCACATTAATTCCATAGTTGTCACTCTTTGCCCAAACTATAAACATAAACAAACTGTCCACGGCCATCGGAGTGCATTCGCCCGTCATCACAATTAGAGCAGAAACGCCTCGATGATGGATGACGAGTCATCAACATGGCGCGCTCTGCTCGGCCTGTTTACAATCGCGTCGCTCGGCGCCGTGGCGCTTCGCAGCAGGGGTGCTGGCGGTGGGACCCAACGCCTCGACTGAGCGAAATCGAGAAAATTAAATTTTGGCTACGATTCATGGCATCTATTGCTGCGAAATCATTATAGTAATGTGTCTGTAAAGATTCGATATTCTATTTTTTAACCGCATATTTGTATAACTGAAATAATTATGTAATTGTAATAATTCATTATGCTCATATTACATCTTCATTTGGGCACTTTACATCTAATTTTAAGCACTTTACATTTGAATCCTTTCATTTGTGCTGAATACGATTATGTTAGTGAATGGAATGTTCCTTATAAGAATCGTAAAAGTTAATAAAGTATATAAAACTTGAGATTTCGATACGCAGGTCATTATAGTTATCCATTTATTTTGATTCTTCATTTACTAACGCATCGGTAAAGAACTTACATCGATGTATTTTTGTGGGTTTTTTAGGAAATATGAATATTTAAGTTAGAAATGACTCGTTTATTTCATCGTCTTTGGAATTGTTCTAAAACAGATTTTTCCTCAATCAGTCTTGCAGAAATCAATGACAATAAACAGACACGCTGTAGAAAACAAGGTTTATTTGGAAATAATCCAAACAGTTCTGAAGCTACATTTTGTTGCAACAGAATAACCCTTGCTCACTCACATTCGTTTGAAGAAAGAGACGTGCTTGAAAATTAATTACAATGCATTGCCCGCATGTTTGAAAATCAAACCAGACAGAAAATAGAAATTATTTACGACACTTGATCACTATTATCATGCTGTAGCAAAGATAGAAGTAGGGACACATTTCCTTGTTGGTTATAAATTCATCAAAATATATTTATGTTGTGATAAATAGTACAGACATCTTTATCAAACTCCAATTTTCTTAATCGAAGCCGCCATGCTAGAGGGAGAATCCACAGTTTTTGTGATGCACGTGCATTTCAATTCGGCCGGCCTTTGGGCAAGCAGCCGCCGCCGCCGTCCTAAGAGTCACACCGGGGCGTCTCAAGGAGTTGGGCAGCGTTGTGCGGAGTTGGGCGCGCGGCGTTTAAGGCCGATCGTGCGGAACCCATTTCGCAAAAAGCGGGGCGTCTGGCGGCGGGGGCCCCTCCCTCGACGGCCAGGGCTATCTTTACGCTCTGACGCAACCTCGGCGCTGCAGGAAGACCCACGCTCTCGTCCAAGGGCGAGCCAAGCGACGGACACCCCTCGCGCTCAGGCGGGCTGAGATTCTTAGCAAAATCGCTATCCCTAATATATTGCACGGTGGCGAATAGTGGGCATCGCTGCCAATCAGTTATTTCAAATGGAACAAACTCGGTACTCATTACGAAGTCTTTACATGTGAAGATATTCAAGTCACAATGCACCAATAAAATAAACCTGCTCTTCGTTGTGGGTCTGCAAGCACTGACCATTCATTACCTCAATTTCGAAAAAGTAATATTTCAGTCTTGAGACTCGTTCATGTTCTGACTTAAAAGACTCCCAGTTTATGTATCCTTTAGGTAAAAATGATCGTCACTCTACACGTTGTTTAAATATTAACAGTCACGTTGCTCTGAGTGTGGTTTTATCCGCAAGCTATATGTTTACTTTTTGAACCCATATGATTTGATAGGGTACTGTTTCAATATTCTTGTGAAATGAGATTCAATTATTGTCATACAACTGAAAAAGCTTTTCCAACGTAATGATGAGTTCAATACATTTAACCAGTGATTCATATCAAGATGAACATTACAATAAGTCCCGAAATTGCCAACTATGCTTTATCCTAATTCTTTTTTCATTAAATTAACTTGAACAATTACACTGAAACTAACAACAAAAATAATTGAAAAATACAATATTTAAAATATGAATTGGTAGATCTATTGAATATTTCTGTTCAACTATATTGCAATGCTCAATGAATCTTATTCGATGAAAATAGTAATATTGGTCGTGCAACGGAGAAATGTGAATTTGAAATTTAAAAAAAATGCTCCTAGGCCAGGATTTGAATTCAATTAAACTTGCTTTGTAATGAATAAACATCTAATTTTATTCTTGAATATCATACTCCTATATAATATTACTATGACGTAATTTTTATGTGGAAAGAATACTATTAGCAAAGAAAATAATTTACGGCGATATTACTATTAGAATTATAAATACTGTTTACTATGTAATGCCCGTGATCCTCAACTTGTTTTAATACGTTTAATAATTATAAAAATTTCTTATATAAAAAACAATTTGAAACTTAAGTTAAATCATAGTTTTGTTTCTACGCGAATCTTCCGCAGTTCATAAAATCCTAAATGCATTATAAGAGAGCCATTGCATTTGATATTTACTTGAGTTTTGTTATCTATCACAAATGTACTACCGTAATACACTGAACTGGTAATGTTGATATAAATAAACAATGAATTTTATTTTATAGAAAATTTACCAGACGACCTACGTAAACAAAATTAATTTCCAAATTGACAGAGAAGTAAACATATTATTTGTCTTGAGCCGATAGTGAACATTACAATATCTCATGTGTGCCCGAATACATATTATGACATTGCTTAAAATTATATGTAGGCATATATTTGTTAACAGATGGTAGTATCCTGTTGCTAAACGTAATAGTTATCACAGCATGACTAAGTGCCACTAATTCGACTGACATTTCTCATCTCTAGACATCATTCTTTCAGTTTTACGCTTAAGAACGAGACATTTTCATTTATATTAAAACGTGTTATTAAAACGTTTTTATATCCTGAGAAGGAAAAATGTTAAACTCGCAGATAATTTTAAATTCCCAATTTTATACATAATTACTTCATACACAAACGAATGAAGAACATGACATTTCATAGATCAGAAGGGAAATAATCTCATTTAAATTCGGAGACAATAGACTTTCCTAATTCGCACTGTTTGAAATTTTTATTTTTTTTTTATTTTGATCTCACAATCAAGTCTAGTTAGACAAAAGAAATAATATGGGTGTGTGTGTGTGTGTGTGTATAAATTGAAACATTTAACATCATAGATATGTCATGTAACGGCACAGATTTTGTCTTAAAAACAAGAAATTAGTGTTGGTGAGAATTATTTTCATAAGGTCTTAATTCATTTCGTTATCAATAACTTATGCATATATGCTCATGAATGCGGAATGTCAAAATATTTCTTTAATAAATATTTCCTGGTAATTTTGTAACTCTTTTAAAACTTGTATTTAGTGTTTATTCAGTATTTAGGGATTTAAATTATTTTATTTCAGACATTATTATTATTAACACTAATTATTAATATTATTGTTAATACTAATTACTTGAATTGCATATAAAATTGTGTAGTTTTTTCTGAATACGATCTTATCAAGTTATAATTTATTTTTATTTTCAATACAATTGAAATGACGGCCTATGTAGTGTTTTTACTTGTATATTTTTCAAAATACTGAGGACATTTTAATGAGGTTCTCCATTACTGTATTTTGACAGATTAAAAAAAAATATTTAGATCATCAATTATCAAATATACGATGGAACATTTGTAAAGTCCTTGCAATCAGAAATTGTGTTCAGTTAA